ATATGTATATTTAACTCAATCAATCGCAAATTACTCACTTAATATTATTGAACAGTATTTGTAATCATAACGGTTTGCTCTGAGGCACACTTATTTAAAATAAGAAAAACTTTCTGTGCATAATTATTTATTTTATTGTCAATTTCTTTATGCCAATTAAAATGATGTTTTTTACACAACTGCATCTAATTGCAATTAGAAACGTTTTTATGGCAAGTAAACTTTTCATGTTTCGTTGCATGCTCAAATGTGAAGCGAACTTCTCGTAACAGTTTAAAGCCAAGAAATTATGTAAGGTATAAATGTTGTCGCCGCTGTTGCGATAGTTGTTGCTGCTGTTGCTGCTGCTGCCGTCATGCGAGCCATTAAAAAATCAAAACAAGTTAACAGTAACCAACTAGTAGCAGGCGACCCGGAAACCGGAAGTGAAAACAGGGCTCTGCCGCAAGTTTGCGGTGACGTCCGCGTGTGGCGTATGCAGGAAGTAAACAGCCCTGCAACAGCAACAACAGCAGCAGAAGCAACGGGTTAGCTAAGCAGTCATTGTTGTTGTAACTGGTTTATGGTTGCTGCTGTTGTTGTTTTTGCTGTTGTTGTGGTTCTTGCATCAGAGCCATGTTCTGTGGACGACTCGCGATAAAGTTGGCAACACGTTAACAACTTGAGCTTGCTTCTGTGTATGTGTGTGTGTGTTACTGCTGACATTTGTGTGCCATGTAGTCCAATGTCAGAACTGTTAGCTGACCTGTTGTTTTGGACTTTAACAAACGAGGGTCATTTGCAACGGCCTCGACTCCCAGCTCTGCTTGCCTTCTGTTGCAAATAAGCGACAGCGTTTTTGGTAACAATTCATGGCTTATATTAGCCACACGACACACAAGCCTGCATTACATAAAGCTGCCAATTTAACCAGGCAACCGAAAGCCGTTGCCTAATACTGTAACAACTTCATCTTCCTCCCTCTCCCTCTCTCTCTCTCTCTTAGTCTCTAGCTGGCTCTCTCACTCTGTGACAATCAGACAGCGACGCTTTTGGCATTATAATGCCATTAACTTTGTCAGAATTTAGCGCTGCAAATTTATGCATAATGAGCAAATACCCATACAAGCACACTCTCTAACATAATCACATATACACACAAATATACACCGTGATATCAAGTATACGCATGCAACCAGCACAACAGCAGTTTACTACCCAACAAACATTTGTTTTGTTAATGATGGTGCTAAGAAAATAATATGAAAGCTTCGATGATATTTGCTGCAACTAAAACACATTAGTAAAAAAAATTGTATACCCATTTATCCATTCTTAAAAATCTTTTGCAATTCTTAAGAATATTTTGTTGGAAACTTATCCTGAAATTTATAGACACAATCTATGTAAAAAAGTTATTGTGTTAAGTTTCAGACAAATCATTTGAATGGGAAGGAAAATAATATTATTTAGACTAATAACCACACAAGCTTTTAATACAAAATTTTAATTACTATCTGATGCTTGAATACAAATTTCCCTAATTAGTTTTTCACTTATTAAAGTTTCTTGCATTTCTCTGAATAATGTGCTTATTGGGTAATAAAGCTACCAAAATGAGATTGTTTATGACGGCGCTAGCACTCGCTGGGAAACTAACTGGCTGCAACTGCGACTGACTCGGTTTCTGCCGCTGGCAGTGGTAGTGGCACTGACGACAGCAAGTGGCACTACTAGTATTTGGCAGTCATAGACGTCAACTGCTCGGTAAGCTAGCCGGCCATAATACTAGTGGTATATCTACACACAAATGTGTGTGTGTATAGGTGTATGTGCCAGTGTGTGTATGTGTGTGTGTGTGTGTGAGTGTTTTGGTGATGTAGCTTTTGTCTGGGGTTGTCATGGCAGGTGAAATTTCTTGGAAACACCGCACAGTGAAGGCAGCAGCCAACTCATTGTGGCAATCGGGTGTTTTCAAGACAGATACTAAGTTGGTTAACTGAAACTGAGGCTACCACCACAGCTGGATGCATTGCAGTTGTGTGTGTGTGTGTGTGTGAGTTTGTGTGTTGTGCGAATGGGTGTGTGTGTGTGTGTGTGTGTGTGTATGCACATATATAATATTTTGAGCTGTGTGCTTGACTTCGTTTACTCGAACAACGTAAGCGTCAGCGAAATATTTTTGTTATTTGCTTGGCATGGTTGAGTTTTTGTGAGTTTGCTATTGCTGTTTCTCACTGGGGATAAAATTTATGAGACCGCACACACACACACACACACACATATACACGCACACAACATTTTGCATATTTGCACTGTGCAAATTAATTTCGCTCGTTTTATTTGCTTTTTGTGCAGGGCAACGCCCCAAAACCCAAAAGCGTTCAAAGTACCAGGGAATATTCATATAAACGTTTGGTTAATTAAAAATGTTCGTCAACGGTGGCAATAGCGTCAACATCGCCTATAATAGTAAATATAAATCAAAAAAGTTGCTGCTTCTGCAAGTTTTGAATTGAATACAATGTAAAGTATTAGCATATATAATATAACATACATTCTGTACGACTATAAAATGTAGTCAGCTCTATAAAATGTAGTCATTATTTTGCAATTTCAAAAGTCCTTGAAACTGACGCAAACAGAACGACAATAAATTGTTATAATAATCTATGAAAGGAACCAGAGATGCGTTTTCGATTTGAAATTGCGTAATAATAAAGTATTTTTAGGGATATTTATAAAGTGCATTGTTTGGTTGAGTGCCAAAGGTCAAAGCACCGCTAGACAAATACAGTTGCCTTTGTATACACTGAGTAAAATGGATCCAAAGGGTATAATGAACTATGTAAATAAAATAGCAGGCAGAAGGAAGCATATCCAACCCCATAACGTATATATATTCTTCTTGTATATCATATATATATCTTTATCGATACAAATTGATTTCCAATGGCAATAAAAGCCAAGCAAACAGAACACGAATATTTCTAACTGCCGGGTTCAGGGTATCTCCAAGTCGAGCTATATTTACTTGCTTCTTGCCTCTTTTATTACACTTTTTAGGCGTGCCAACTAAAATGCAACTTTTTATGCACATGAGTACAAAACTTTGACATTTGCATTTGTCACAGTCGGTGGCAAAAGTTTGCAGCTTAAATTCCTGAATGCATTTCAACACGCAATTGGCATGTGACAGTCAAAATGTTTGCTCAAGATGAGCCAGGCAAACTCACATAGAGATAGATAGACAGAGAGAGAGAGAGAGAGAGAGAGAGAGAGAGTGAGAATGACAGTGCAATGGGAAATGGGAATCGAATGTTTGATATATCAATTTGAAAAGTTTGACTTAGTTTCCCCACTCGAGCATTTCGATTAAAGTTTTCCATGCGGCAGATTAAAAACTTTTGTTTCCAGCTCAACTTTTGTATGTGTGCCAAAACAAAAAAATAAAAAAAACCAGTCCAAGAAGGAACAGCTTTTTTTTAGGTTGAATATTACATACACTTTTAGACCGGAGTTTAATTGCCGTCATCTAAATTTTACTGGGAACTTAAAAAACCGACGATTGTTGCTATGAAATATGTAATAAAATGTATTAAATAAAAGTTTTGTATACAAGAACTCATCTTTCGACTGATCGTTCCACTAGGCCGATCCGGTCTGCTCTGATATATGTTTGGCTTGCAAATAAAACTGAGGAACTTGTTTGCATATCAGCTGTTATTGCTGACGAAGAGTATATATACTTTATGTCTTCTTCAATGTGTTACAAACTTGATGACACAATGACAGTACAATCGACAAGGGTACAAAAAACATGTTTGCATTCTCTGCATTACTTGGCAGCATTCAGAATAGGTTCAATATGCATTTTTGCATTTTTACCTTTTTGGCATTCTTGTGCTTTTGCAAGCCAAGTGGGCCATGGGTGTGAAACAAACAACAGCGACATAAGGCCACACAAAGTGAATCAATTTAAATATAAATTGATGTCGCAGAACCTTTGATATAAAATAAATCAAATTCACCGATTTAAACAAATATCAGATTAAACAACTTACTAATATATTTGTTTTATATTCATTATATATATATATATTTATATCCAACATCCGACATGATAATCATAGATTCGTTATCTGAACATCACCACAACGGGTCATTCATTCACTCATTCATTCATTCATTCATTCGTGCGTGTTTGCATATATCATTGTATGCTGCTATTAGCATTTATGTTTGTTAACAATATACAGTACTAGTTGGTACATACCCGCACCATTATCCAGACAATGGGCGAGGAATGGCGTGTGTCCAGCAAATTAGCATTTCATTAAAAAACAGGCAAAATTTGTTCGCAATGTTGTCGTTGAATTGGCCGCTCGTTCGTTCGTTCGTGTCTCCATATCCGTGTCCGTGTCCGGCAAAAGCTAAAAAAAAAAAAAATAATAATATAGACCATAAATTAGTTGCATTACTTGATTAGAGCTGCACAAATGCCATTATTAAAATTCAATTTCCTTTACGTGCAACGCGATTGCATGTCTAATCGAATTTAACAAGTTTTCCATTTTGCCCTTTGCATTTATCACGTGCCCCGGTCCCGGAGAAATTAATACAAATTCATCGTGAGTGCATATTCCGGGAAGCAATTTGTCATGCGATTTTCATATACTGCTAATTTGGTTTATTTAAAAGAATTAGTTCCTGTCAGCGTTTAAGGCTAACTTATTCCTTATATGCCTATATGCGATGAATATTTATTTTTTTATTTACATCCTTATTTACCATCAACGGATATTATATCTATCGATATTATATATATTATAACTATTGATATAATTAAAATAAAAAAATCAAGTGATTGATTGTTCGCCACCTATCGATATGAAACATATAGCAACTCTGCCAGTGTTGCCAGACTTTCTAAAAGGTCAAATGCAACAAAACGGCAATAGTTTGTAAACCTGCACATGCTGGCTGGTAAAAAGTAAATTAAAATTCTATCAAGAGTCACTTCAGAATTAAAAATAATTCATAAATAACAAACTCAAGATATCCACAAAATGACGGACGCCGAAGCAGTTATAATAACTACAGATATGTGCGAAGAGATGCAAAATTACTGTATACATTGTGCCAATGAGGCCCTGGAAATCTTCAATACCGAAAAAGACATTGCGGTCTACATTAAGAATGAGTTCGACTCGAAGTACTGTCCCTCCTGGCAGTGCATTGTGGGTCACAACTTTGGCTTGTATGTGACACACGAGACGAGCCACTTCATCCACTTCAATTTGAATGGTGCTGACGTATTGCTCTTCAAGAGCTGTTAGGTCATCGAACTAAAAAAAAATACAAAAAACACATGTGTACATAGTACTAAGTATTTCATTAATGTCATCCAAAAATAAAAACTCAACTTAAGTAAATATTCGTTGTGTCCAATATGAATATGTGGATAAAGCCTTCGATTGCAGAACACTATCGATATACCAAACTGTAGCTTTGCCAGGGTTGCCATATTTTCCACAAAAAAACGCTTTGCAACAGAGCGATTTTCAGTGCCCCAATAAAGTTCAGCGAAAATCTGCCACAAATTACAATTTGAGCATTAATTTTGTGGTCAAGTTTCAAGCGCTCTTTGTTTTTTGTGTTGTTGCCTCTATAGGCAATTTGGATTTGTCAGTCGAATATAAACGTAAAATTCGAACATTTGTGACAAAATTATCCGAAATCGGCATTTGTTAAATATTTTGATATAGTCGACCAGGGACCACAAGGTAAGTGCATCTCCCAACTTTACCCAAACGGTGAAACAAAAAACAATCTTTGGCAGAACATTTGCTCAATAAGAAAGCCCGAAGATGTCAGATCGCAAGGCAGTCATCAAAAATGCGGATATGAGCGAGGAGATGCAGCAGGATGCTGTGGATTGCGCTACCCAGGCCCTGGAGAAGTACAACATTGAGAAGGACATTGCGGCCTACATCAAGAAGGAGTTCGATAAGAAATACAATCCCACCTGGCATTGCATTGTCGGACGCAACTTTGGCTCGTATGTGACACACGAGACGCGTCACTTCATCTACTTCTATTTGGGGCAGGTGGCTATACTGCTCTTCAAGAGCGGCTAACCATTTCCCAAGCCACTCAGCAAAATCCACAAATAAACCCGAACATACACACACACACACACACATCCCACCAATGTAGTAGCAATAAGCAGGTCGACTTAGTCGTTGTTGAACACACACTCTGAACTCTGATTTGAAATGGCACACTGTTGACATCACTTCCATCTTGCAACACACACAATCATTTAGTGAACGCAATGGCAAACCGAAACACAACCAACCAACCGCTGAACACAAACAATTTCCTTCAAAATACATGTGTTTCTGACTATTTACCAAACCACACAAATTTCAACATGCATTAAATCAATTATATCAAATTATTCTTGTCTTGTTATTTAGAAATCAGCTGTCGAATCTCACTCTACCATTAATCCCAATTTAAAAGTTGAGTTGAATTGAAAGTATATATACATATTCTTTATCAGCATCATTAGCCGATCCGATATAGCAATGACAGTCTGCTTCTCTGCGAAGTAGTCAATCAACTTCTAAGCTATCCAGATGAAACTGGAAACATGGGCACACCACGCAGCAAAGTTGATAAGGCATAGTTATGCACAAGCTACAGCGAAGGCGATTTGACATAGTTATGCCTTTAGTATTGTATAATGATAATTTAAATATTAACACATAAAATATTAAATTCCCATGCTTTGTGTGATTAGTCTTAAGTGTTTTAGGTTTTAAGTATTTTCTTATCAACTTTGCACAGCTTCCTCCGCTTAGATTCCGTAAGCCGAACAGAAGACTGAATTGAGTTAAGAGTATTTAAGCTTAAGAGTATTTGAAACACAATTAAAACATTTATTCAATGCTCTTGCTCTTGGAAATAAAGCATTGGCTGATAAGCCCGTTGGCATTTTATATACACTCAGTTCGCTTCAGTTTAGTTTTGCACATCTGACGAATCAGAGCTTCCAAACCATTAATAAGCAAGCAAATTCAATATGTTAAAATTGTGCTGGTTTTTCGTATTGGTTAGTGTGACACTAGCAACCAATATGACCAATAAATATTTCGATACTCGAGTAAATTCACGGCTGAGTGATAATGAATTGGAGGAACTGTTGCTGAATCCGAAAAAGCGGGCCCAAGCCTTAGAGAAAATTGAAAAGAATATTATACTAAGTGAAGCCCAATTATTGAAGGAGGAAAATGAAATTTCGACCATTATTAATAAAATTAATAACATCAGTGATATAGCTGCTCCCAATCCCGCGATCCGATCGACAGATATTGAAATGACCAATTTTACAAAAAAGGGGAAAGAGGTTGCCATTGATATCGTCCAAAAACATCTGTTTAAAAATAATAACTGGTCAGTCGCCAAAGTCATACAAGATGAATTTAAAAATACTTTCGAAGGTTATAACTGGATTTGCGCTGTGGGTTATGTATTGGACATGCACATCCGCCAAACAATTGATAAATATATATACATAAATGTTGGACCAGTGCAGATTATGGTGTTCGGTTGGAAAAAGAGAAACTATGTCCGAATTAAGCGATCTGATATATAATACAATTATTTCATTTGGAAAAGAAAAGTTGCCAAATAATGAATCGAAATAAAAAATAAAAAGAAAAAGCATAAAAAAAGTCGAATTTAAATTAAGCTACAAAGTCAATTAAAAATTGTTGGAAATAACTGTACACCGCAGCTTGTCTTGCATTCCCGTTTTGTAGTCTTAATCTGTTGTTGCCTGCGAGCAACGGTAATTGTAAGTTCCTTATGATCAAGACCTTCTACGATGCTATGTTTAAGCTATTTTCATGAAGTAAGAGTCAGTCGCTTATGGTCGCTTGAATCACGTAGTGTAAATTGCATGATGCGGACTTATATTCTGTATAAATGCTAAGCTCTGAATAAATATAAGCCCCAAGTTATAATAAAAATCAATCATACAAATTTAATTTAATCCATTAAATAATATTACATTGTTTAACAAAATGATCAATTATTATATCAAACTGTGAAATAAAAACTGTAAAGTATTTTTGAATTGCCAATTGAAGAAGAAGTTTGTATTGGAGATCAAGATGCTGTATGCTACAGCTGGGTATCTGCTGGCGAACATATTTGAGAAATGCATGCGTAATTGTTGCCACAGTTGCTCTTGCCACACGGCGATCAAGTTATTCTACTTAAACTTTTGTGTGTCGAGCTGCAACAATAAATAAACAATGCACCCCTGCTCTTTTTGTCATGTGTGTGTGCGAGTTTGTGTGTGCTTGCGGTGTGTGTGTGTGTGTGTTTGAGTTAACACATGACCGAGGCAAATAAAAATGGCTTAATTAAGTTAATTAAAATATTGTTGCTGTTGGGTCATGCACACGGTTCGCTCTTATGTGCTTTTATTATCTCAGCGATTGGCAATTTTCGGACAGCAGGACCTTTGCACGGCTGCTCAAAGGATGTCTCGCCAAGCGCGTAATTATGTCAGCTCACGTACTTAACTCGGGACTGGGAGCATCGGCAGGCAGAATTGGTAACCAGTCGGAGACCGGAGCCAACGACAATAATAATAAAGTTGCTGTGCTGTTTAAATGTATCTATATATATATATATATATATCTATATTTTTTTTTAATGCTCTCACGGCAATGTTTGCCAGCGTCCAAACAGATGCATATTGTTGCGGAATATTGTTTGAGCCGTTTTTACAGTACGACGACTTTTGGCCTTGTCGCATTGTTCCCGGCTGCTGGACAGCTGCATCCGATATATACGATGTATGTGCCACATACATGTAAATGTGATGCATACGATATATTCAATTCAATTGAGCTGCTGCCATTGCCAACGTGTGTGCCACAGACAGTGGCTCATGCATATTTCATGCGCAGCTTAAATACAGTCGAAATGCTTTTCATGCTTAACAAAATCCTTTGCGCCAATAAAAACAAAATTTAAGTGCCGCGCACGCACAGGACTCGCAATCAGGCTTATGCGCTCAACCGTGGTTTATTAATATTTTTACGTTGTCAATTTATGGTAATTTTTTATGGCCAAACATTAAACAAAACAAGTCAAGTCAAAGGTAACACTCAAAGTTGCAAAGGCAGCCGAAATCGTCATTTGTCTGCTTGCCAATGTTGGTCGGACCCATGGGCCCATCCAATTCCCAGACGCTTTTGACCCCAACTAAACGCCCCGCCTCTCGTCGCCCCCAGTCTGTGGTGACTTTGCCAGCAGCTGTTTCGCATTTGCTTCTCATTTGAAGTTGCCTCCTGTTGAGCTGAATGAGCAAACGGGAGCGACTTGTGGTGAGTCTGCGCACTTGCCACAATTCCCTCCGACGAGTCGATGAGCAAATAGCGAGTCGCAAAAGACTCGTTTGTTAATTACTTGAAACATTTTGAATGTGTGAGTTTCCAAAAACTTTAATTTGAAATTACTTTTTATTATACGAAATAAAGTGCTATTATCATTGACGGGACGCATAACTATTATTTAATTAATTATTTCTATTTCTTCTCATTGATAGACACTTGTTATACTTGAATAACATATTTATTAATTAATTCCGAATTTTTGATATTCAGGGCTGTTCTATTTTGATATAATCAAATTTAGGATAGACTTTGTTTGCAATTAACTAAAACCAATTAAGTCTGGCATTGATTAATTTGTAATTAATTTTTGTGTTTGTGTTTAATTGTGCAAAAGAAAAATAAACATAAAATTAAATATGCTGATGTTTATTTTATTTATTTTATAACCACATTTTTCACTCATGTTAAATTAGAGAACATTTTTTTAAAATAAATATATATTTAAATGTCAGCATGATACTGCAGATAAAACAAACGTTTTTACAGTCATTTAAACGATTGAGATCAGAGGGCAACTAAAGGAAAAAATGATTTAAAGAGAGAGATATACTCGATGGCCAATTTCCATATGGGAAATTACATGCAATTCGAGCAATTTTGCATGCCGCCCCACACTCCACACCCCGCACACTCCACACGCACACACAAAAGGAGCAACCGAAACTTTTTGGTCTTTTTGAGCTGTGTGCGGGTCAAACAAAATGCCAACTTTTATAAATTACAGTCAGCAGTACTGACCTCAATATAAAATTACACAACACGACTTGAATAAACATACACACACACACACACACACACACACACGCACACACACACATGTATGTACACATCCAGATACTCTTACAGTGAAAAAAAAAAGGAAAAACAAAAAAAGTGGAACAATTGCAAGTGCCATAGATACGAATGTAATTGCATTTTACTTTGTTGCATTTGGTTGGGCAAAAAGCTAGAAGCCAAAGTCAACCAACCAACTAAAAAACTCACACACACACACACACACGCACGCACACACATGCATTAAGTTTTTGCATTTTGCTGTTATTATTATTATTATAATAGTTGTTTTTGTTGTTTTTAATTTGTGACCGTAAAAACAAGCAAAAACCAAGCGGGTCAGTTGCAAACAGGCGGCGAGGCACAGAAGAGAGGCGGGAAAGTCAACACTGCGACCAGTTTTAGCTGCCAACTATAGTCGCCTCCGACTATGACAAAATAAGCAAAAATACCTAATGAAACATAAACAAGACACAGACCGAGGAACAGAAACCAACCAAACAACAAAATATCTTATCTAAACAAGAAAATTTTCATTTGTTGCGGAATTTAACATATAAACTAAAAACATAAAATAAAAAAGAAGAATGCATTTTAAATAAATGTCAGCATAGATAAACCGAAAATTAAATGCGCTTTTTTATATATTTATATTATGTTTTATGATAATTGTTAGTATTATTGATTTGACATTTCTATAAATTATTTTTCCTTAAAGTGCATTTACCTTTCTTGATTGATCTTTATGCATTTTTAACAGAATTATTGCACTTAAGAGAGACATGAATCCCAAACTTATTCTTAAGAATTAAAAATACATCCAATTAATCGACTAAGAATTTTGATAAGTATACACCCAACAAATAGAGTAACTCCCGACCATTGCGATGGCATTTCCACTCAAGAAATGCGCTAGATTATCGCACACATAAACAATAATAATCGCATGACAGTCCGGACTCAGACAGGCATTCAGGACAGAGAGTTTCTTTTGGACTTTTCTCAACTGAGCCGGAAACTTGCATCGCTTTCGGCGTGATGAATGGAGCACAGTGTTGCCCCCAAACTGCCACAAGCCGCATGCCCCAGCGACAGCAGCTCGCAATCCACATGGGGGGCGTGAGGGAAGTGGTCGTCAATTTTTCATTTGGTAAAGAAATCAGTCTGTGTGTTTGTCTGTTTGTCTGTTGTGTCTTTCTTGTGTGAATTTGGGAATATTTTTGCCTCACTTGTGGCTCTTGTCTGTCGCTGACCATTGCCATTGTCTCCTTGTCTTGACTTGGATTCGGATTCGGAGTTTTTTTTTTTTTTTTTTGGTTGTACTTCTGGTTCTTTGCCTGTCAACATTGCTTTAAACAATTGTGCACAGTTTGCTTGTTGATTTTTAGCATATACATATACTATTATACTCAAAGGGGATATAAATTTAAAACGATGGGAAGAATGAGGATTATTTTTAATGTCATAAATAAGCCGATTGATTTGTGTTATTTTTGTCTAGTATCTCGAAAATAAATATCGTATAGTTTGGGCAGAGTATTTAAGTTTTGGTATGTTTGTTATGATTTTAGTGTGAATTTTTTGTTGTTACATTTTGGTTTGTTTTATTGTTCGTTTTGATAAATTGTGCGCCTTTCGTTTTGACACATGTCAGCGTTTGTCTGCCCATTGTAAAAAAGCAACACTCGTATTATGAAGGCTGTCTTCTATTTGCAGCTTTTGATTGTCTAGGCTGGCCTCTAAAGGTTATCGCTCTTTTTCATTTGTAAGAGCAGAGATATTAAGTCTGGTTCGGATTATATACATATGTACACAAGTGTAGACTAAGATGAAGAAAATCTGTGGATAACAATTAAAAAATCATATAAGCTAAGTCGACAATTTGGATAAACAAGTGAGTTGTTACTCTGTGATAAATATGAGATAGTTTAATTCATTATACATAACAAACGGAAATCCGGAAATAATGTCACCAATTTTTTAATTACATGTAAACTAAGACTATATCAATATTAAATATGAGACAGTTAGATTCAATATAGATCAGATCAGTTTGTGGTATGGAATGTATGTATGCTAATGTGAATGCAGTCAACTGCTTGCTGTCAATTGACAATCGAGTCACTTGAACTGACTTTGGTGGGTGTGCACCGATTCTGGCCAGGACCCAGGCACATGTGCTGTCAGTCACTCAGTCAGTCAGTCAGTCAGTCAGTCAGCCAGTCAGTGAGTCCATGTTGCTGCTACTGTTGGGTGTCTGATGTTTCAGCTTCAGCCATGTCAGCGTCAGTTTATGCGACTGACAGCGTCAACAATTTTATTTACTTAATTTGGCTTTAGTTTGTCATTTATTTACTTGTTTGCCACCGCAGCCTGTACTCGTGCTATCTCTATCTCACCCGCACACGCTTGCCACCTTATCTAGAGACACATCTCTCCAACTCTGTACCCATCTCCATCCCCATCTCATGGTCGGCTCATGTGCGTCTCTTAATGTCTGTTGTTGTCACTTTGACGCTTGACGTTGTTACAGTTATTGTTATTGTTGTTGTTGTTCTTGTTGTTGTCGCTTTGTGTGTTTGTTTACTCAATAGCCAAGGGTAGTTGCGACAAAAACAAAGCAACCACAACTTGCCAAGAATTCTTAGCCTGCTTTCTATAGGATTGTTTTTGCTTTGCATGCTATGATTTTTCGTTCAAACTTTCCTGTTTAGTTTTTCATGCACTTAACACTCGATCAATCATTCAATCATGCATTGATTGATTCTTTCTATAGTTGACTTCTGTTTTTTTATGTATTCGATTTTTAGCAGCTTACAGGGTAAGTGTTAGTCGCTCTTTCGTCACTGTGTTAACCTAATTTGGTGTTCTTTTTAACTGTGACACATTTCACTGCCCGCACATTTTTATACGTTGGTGTCATTTTTGTTATTTTCCTGTTGTTGCTGGCACGTGCTTTTGCATTTTTTATGAAAATTTAGAGACCGCTTTTGGTTGCTCTTGTTACACATGCTCGCACTTTAATTAAATATTTATTTCAATCATTTTGCCTAAATGGAAATGCGCTCAGCTGGGATCAAAAAGAAAGTCTGAAAGAGAGAGAGAGATACAGAGAGAGAGAGAGGGAGAGAGATACAGAGAGAGATAGAGAGAGAGGGAGAGGCTGCACTAACATTTGTCATTACACATTAATAGCGCACCATTAATCTTTTCGTGAGCTGCTGGGCAAATGAATGCTGGCTACCAAGGGCCAAGTCCCGTTAATTAATGTATGCCATTTAGCCGGAAAATTGCAGGGGTGCACACACATCAATAAACATACACACACATGTGTGTGTGTGTACAGGCCCATCATAATGAGCGCCAATTTAGTGTCCTTGTGTGTGTGTGTGTGTGTGTGTCGTTGTCGCCACCGCAAACAAGCAAAGGCCAAAGCCACAGTGAACACCCTGCACCCTGCACCCTGCCCCCTTCTCGGCCAGACTGAACTTGCCCTCTCTCTCATGCTGTATCTCTGTTGCTAGACCGCTCACTCTGCCCAGCAGGTATGCTTGATTAATGCTTTATAACAGGACACAGAAAACACACACAGAGACAAACAACAAAACAAGGATATTGCTGGCTGCATGGTTGCTAACGCCCATTCGTCCTTTCGCCCGGCTGCCGATCTCCTCTGCCAATACATTTTAACATTAATTTAGTGGAATGCGGCAAAGGACTATGAAAGCATTTCAGCGTCGTCAACGACACATGTTAATCCCGTCGTTGTCGCTACCACAAACCACTCACATCCATATCCAAACTCACATTCACATCCACATCCACATCCATATTCCCATTTCCCATTCATGCTTAACTCACTCCACGACAAATAGTCGTATACGGATTTAGGCAGCATGCATTTCAATCGCTTTTGACAAATAGCTAAATTTTTGAGCGGATTTCTCAAACTAAACCCGTAAAAGGGTTGGCGGAAATTGATAAGCCGTCAGTTTGTAGTGTTAATGATGATGAGACTAACAGACACTGTGTCAAACAAAACGATAATTAAGCGTAAAACGAGTGTATAATTTATTTTGCTAATTTATTCATGCAGAATCTCGATTCAAATTGAGTATAGATATGGCTGTTTCGCATGATCTACAGGTAATATACACCTTTAAAAGATCCATATTCTATAAATAGTTTTTTGACAAAACTAGACTATTTATCTTCCATAACATTTTCAGTAAAACTCTGATTATCAAGTGAATAAAATCTAATGAACATTTTAATAAATGCAACGATTAACTTAATAAGTCGCCAATCGAATGATTCCACTTTAAAAATGTTATCAAATATTTTGTTTGTTCTGAAAGGTACGTCAAAGCTTCAAGTTAAATTTTGATTTTAGTTGAGTTATTTTTTAAATTTTAAAGTTTATTGTTTTCGGCCCGCGCATTCCCCATGTGCGATACAAATCCGACGATGAAATCAACTCCGCCGCGTTGTCTGCGTTGTTGTCCACCCTCCTGCAATCCATGCCTCTGCTGTCCGCCCGCCTGTTGTCAGCCATGCACCGCCTTTTGCATATTCGATTTGGAAACTGCGATTTTCGGTAAGTAAAGACAGTCCGCCCCCTTAAACTATAGGGATTTTAATAACAAATGCTGTTGCAGACACACGTCATATATATCAGCGAGCATGTCGCGAACTCCTTGCCAGCTACAATAAAACGCTTCCGGATGAGGTTCTCATGCAATGTGCGCCCATGGAGACACATGAGATGGCCGAGCTGATATGCCGCAAGTGTGAGTTGCCCATAATGTGGGAGAATTTCCTGGTGCAGCTGAACGAGCACACTTGCCGTCTAATTGCGTATCCGCCCCTTATGGAGGGTGTCGAGCGTCTGATCAATCATCTGCATGAGAATTGCATTGGTCTGGCTCTGATCACCGCCAGTAGCCGTTCGATATACTGCAAAAAGATATGCGGACATGAGGAGTTGTTCGCAAAGTTCGATCATGTGCTGTGCGCCGATGAATATAATCGTCCCAAACCGGATCCGGACTGTTATTTGATTGCAATGAAGCTGCTCTGTGATCCACCCTGTGCCGAGTGCTGTTTGGCATTCGATGGCTCCATCAAGGGTGTTCAGGCGGCCAGAGAGGCGCACCTTAGGGTCATTATGCTACCGGATCCAGAGTTACCCTGCTGCTGGTCCGAACTGGCTACAGAGCGTCTGGAAACCCTTATCGAATTCGATCCTGTGGAGTACGGCATGCCATATTTAGAACCACTGCCGCCACCACCAACAAAACCATCTCCTGAATCGTCTCTTTCGCCGACGCACAGTGCTGTTGATGAAAATGTAAATACGGAGGAGGAAATTGTTGCTAGCGGACAGGACGAGGAAGCGCCACCAGAAGAGCCACCTGAAGAGCCATCCGCTGAAGCATAAATAAATCAAGTTTCAACCAGAAGCTGGGCTCATAAATTCATAGCTCTCATGCGGAAATTGTGTGAAATCTCATTAAAATTGGAAACAACATTTATTCGTTTATTTTATGCTCTTGAATGAAGAAAAAAACGTTTATTGGTTAAAGGATATTTAACCACAGATTAATCAAGAAATGTTTAATAAGACATCTTATTTTTTACACAAAGTATTCTAATAAATTGGAAATAACAGTTATCCGATTATTTGATTTGTTCCTTTATAAAGTTGAAACAATGTCACTAAAACATTAACAAAGAATTATTTAATAATAAATAAATATTCTTAAGAAAATACTCTACCTTAAAATGAAACTATTCGTTTGCAGAGTTTATTCAAGATAATATTGATAAATGATTTACATTTAAATAAAATGAAAAGTTGGCCCGCTAAATTTAATTTAGAAAATGATGATTTATAACAACTAAAAGCAGATAAATATTGAAAATCATTCGACATTTAAGACAAATTATTGATTATGTTTACTGCATTCCCAAATACGTTACACAATCTTTCAAAAAACTAGAGCACCCCCCAATTAGAGTATAATAAAGATGTGCAAGTCTAACACTTGAAATCAATTTGCAAATTTCAAATATGCAACACCTTCTGCCTGAATATTATCAGCATTGAATGGCCATTATGAACAGGATAAAACAAACAATAAATCAAATTTAATTGCTTAAGCAAATGCAACATTTTATTGTCTGTCTGGCAGTCTTTCCGTCTAATTCTTCGTCTGTCTGGCAAAAGTCAATTGTTGACAATTAAACTATGCAATGCAGCTTATAATGCATATGCCGTATATGGCAACTTTACACGACTCGACAAAGATGTCGTTTGTGTGGCATGCAGCAAGCAGCAAGCAACTACCAACTTTGGCAGCAAAAACAACAAAGAGAACTCTGTCCCAACTTATAATTACTTAATGCTCCAGCCAGACTGCCGACAGCTGGAGTCAACTTGGAGTCTTCAATCTGCAGTTGCAGCAGCTGCAGCTGCAGCTCACTCTCTGTCTATGCCTCATAACCACTAGCCAGTTCGCATAAAACTAAAGAGAATAAACCTTTTAACTCTTTACCCTGCTAATTGCGTTTGCTTTTCAATATTTGTGAATCATTTCGTTTTTTTTTTTCACTTGCACTTCCCTTTTTAGCTTAATCAGCGAACGCCACAGGAAGTACTCAAGAGCAGCGCTAAATAATAGAATAAAAATAACAAAAAACAAATGAAAAATAAGAGTATAAAACGAAAGTGTGCAGAAAATCATTATATACGCCGGGCCGACAAGTCAAAGTTTTTTTCATTTCACAATTAAATTAAAGACTCGAACATTTCCCTCATGCATTTCCAATTTGATTCGCTTCCATTATAGCTCATTAAAATTGCAACTGAAACAAATTGAGTGCACATTTTAGTCTTAAATAAATAATTAGGCCCACCAACCCATTAGCATAATGTCTGAATTGCTAAAGTTACACCAGCTACACGCAGAAAACCAACAAAAAATGTAATAAAAAAATTAAATAAATTTCTAGAAAAAACCTTTTGATCACTGATAATTTTGGGCAAGAATAATTAAAAAATTCAAATGTTGCTAGCCAAATGTAAATTTCGAGACATTGTCATAGGGCGGCAAACCAAATAGTTCCGGCTCAAATTCAGCCATGGAGCGCAGAACTAAGGTAGCCTCCTTGGTCAGTTCCGGCGGAACAATGTCATCTGGTATCATCACCACCTGCATGCCCGCTGCAATACCACCCCGCATGCCAAGTGGCGAATCCTCAAACACCAGACAGCATTCGGGTCGAGGAGCTGGCTTGAAGCGCGATGCAGCCAATAAAAATATATCGGGCTCAGGCTTGCCACGCTTCAGTTCCGGATCATCGCCGCAGACAAAGTGACGAAATGCGGCCAAAAGGTCGCAATGATTTCGCGCCTTCAGGTTAAATGTTTTGCGGCTAGCCGATGTTGCCACAGCCATGTCCACCCGATGCTCGAACAGATGTAGCAGCAACTCTTTCACACCTGGCAGCAGTTCCACATTGCACATCAAGCGGTGCACCTCAGCATCAAATTTAACCAGATACTCCTCCGGTTTTAGCGGCAGTTTCAACTCATTGACAACCAACTGGCTGGCCAAATGCGATGACATTCCCATGCAACGCATCTTAAGCTCTGGACTGTAGATCTTTCCATAGGGTGTGAGTAAGTTTTGCACTGCCTGTGTATACAAACGTTCCGTATCTGTGGAATATATATATATATGGCTAGCTGTAATTATATTGAGATTTATGTGCATTACCCATGAGAGTTCCATCGTTGTCAAATATGCAATGTGTCACTTTCGAATAGTGCTTCGTTGTCGCCATCATTGCCTTTTTCTTGCGTTTGCATTCACAACATTTTCTGGAAATAATTTTTGAATTTCGTGTTTTTTTTTCAAACTATTTTTTTTGTTAATTTCTTACAACTTTGATTTCGTTTGCTGGGTTTTTGAGCTTCGTCATGCTTTACTGGAAAAGCTGGCTGCTTCAGATTGTTTTCCACAGCCATAACTTTTTTCTAAACAACGTCTTTTTGAGCATGTTTTGATCTTGCAATATTTCCTGCTCAAAAATAAAAAAAAATATTGTAAATTTCTAGCAGTCAACATTTGTATTCTGTTCTGTAAATTTAAAGTAACCGCGTTCAGAAATATGTTCAATGGAAATAAGGAGTTTATTAATCATTATATTGCAATTAAGGCAACTTTACTTAAACTTGTTTGCCTTAAGAGTTGGCTGCCGTTGCAAGATCACGTTGATTTCATTAGGCAAACCAAAGAAAATGTTGAAAATAAAATGCTTCGCATGCATTTTAATTAAACTATTTTCGACTTTTGCAACGTGCAGTTTAAAATACTTTGCCAACTTGCTAGTGCAGGCGGTGGGAGGTGGGGGTGCCCATTTGGGGGAGCAATTGGGGGCAACAGCTGCAAGTGGAAGGTGCTTGCAGCAGCTGTCAATTTAGTGGCGCCTCGGGACAGCAGCCTTAGCCTTAGCTTTAGTTTTAGCCAGTATGCATGCCACGAGCTCGAACTCTTCCGGGGGTAGCACGGGTCGACGCTGAATTTTGGCTGCCAGCTTCAGCCTGTCGCATGTTGTTACAAAGTTGCGTAATTGATTAAGCAGTTGGCAAGCGTGCCACAAGACGCTGTCGCAGCGGCAAACTTTGTCATACGACTGCACGTGCTGCCCCACGTTGACAGCCGCTTTTCGGAGTCGAAGTTGAAAAGGGGCAACAACTACGCCAGCTACATTCCCAGGACAGCATATGAAGTACTCAATGCGACTGAACTCATTGCAAAACTATTAGTTGTATTAACAAAAGAAATACCTTTATATGAGCGACGTAAATTATTATCAAAATTCCATAACTTGGCCAAAAGTGAGCCGAGTTTTAAACACCAGGGCTTGTTCATCATTGTTTGATTCGATTAATAAAACATTCAAGATTGAAATTCAAGTTCAAATTATGCTCCCAAGATTTTCCAGACCCATAACTCTGTCAAAAGAGATCCGGTTTTCAAAAACGTTGGCTTGTTGGCCATGAATTAACCTGTAGAATAATACTATATTTCACCTTGAATAGCCACTAGCTAAAAGTGATCCCATTTTCAAAATCCAGCGCTTTTTGAACATAGTTTAACCTGTAGGTAAATACTACAATTAAAGTTGACAATGCGCGTTTTTGGCTGGGAATTCATGTTAAAATTGCGACTCTAAAGATTTCCAGATGGGATGCATCAAAGCCTTCCAGACCCATAAGCTGGCCATACATTATTCAAAAGTCAGTAATTTTTGATCACGATTCGACCTGAACTACATTTAAGCTTGACAACGCGATTCTGACAAAAAAATATAGACTCAAATGGTGGCCGTTATAAACCGATTTAAAGAAGAAAATGGCATTCAGCATTTTGCCAATTTAATGAGTACAATGCATTCCAAAACAGACTTTGTTTTTTAGCAATATATTTGTTAAATGCGGATGTATAACCACAGTGGTGCAAAAACCCCTAAAGGTAAGGCTGTTGCTAGTCAATAAAATGGCTTTAATTAATCGGAAGCGCTGCGTCAGCTGTTGTTGCCACACACACACACACAGACACAGCAACAAAATGGACAGCAGACGTTGAGCATTAATGCAGCGATGAATTGTGCGCATAATTTATGCAGCCGACCATTTTGGGCCAAGCATTTATGGCCACGTTTTTTGGCCACAAAAACGGAGTGGCAGCAGGCGGCAGTGAAAACGGCCGACTGCCCAGCAACAATATGTTGTAAACTGTTTAATTTGAAAGCACCTCCCCTCTAATCGCTATCCTGGCAACGTGTGCCAAACACCCCGGCCAAAAACGCCGCCACCACAACTCTCCGCGTGCCCCCCAGCAAAACGCAACCAGGTCGCTTGTAATTGCGTTCATTGAATTGTTAACTGGTTTCGTTGTCTACGGCGAGCCGCTGGCCGCAACCGCAACTTGCAGCTACGGACGCGGTGGCGGGAAAACGGCTAAAAGCCGTTGTTATCCTTGTGGTTGCTGCGGCTATCCATCCTGTGTCTGTGTGTAAATGTGTGTGTGTGTGTGTGTCCCTTGAGTTGATTTGGTTTTACAGAGTACCACGACGCATTGGGATTTGAATTTGGCTGCAGACTTCACAAAAAATCCCGGTCAATGCACATCAAACTTTTTGGCTCGCTCGCTGGCTCGCTGCATTTGGCATTTATTGGTATTGTTCCAATTAAAGTTCGACTAGCTCCATAAAATATGCAAACACGTAAAAGTTCTCGCAATTCTCGATTTTGGCTGTCACAGGACATTAATGCTTAACGGTCAATGGTTTTGCACTGCAGCGCCCTGACCAAGCCAGAGGACATTGCCAATAAAAGGTAATAAAATGGTATGAACAGCATTTCCAGAGCTGCTCAATTGGAGCTCGAGTGCAGTTGGAAGAGATGCAAGTTTCTGATTGCCTCTGTGTACTTTAAGCGTCTCTCACTCTTGCGGCTCTATATTTTTATTACAAAATTACTAACACTTTTGTGGTCTGATTCGTTCTTGAATGTTGGACCATTTTCTATTATGTTATGGTTACCTTAAAGTTGATTTTTAAATTTCATTTTTATTATTTATTATCAATTCAAAACCATTTCATTTTTAGCATTAATTATATTGAAATTTATATTAATAAAATAATTATTTTGTAAAGTTGTGAACTGTATTTAAATAAAATTATGTGATTTTGAAATACGTTTGTCTTGTATGTCTTAAACAGATTTGTAATCTTACTGAAAAAACTTTGAAAACTAAAAAATTTAGGCTTATTTTAACGGATAATCGTTTTTAGGCTATTCATAAGAAATGATTTCATTGCTTTTTTCAACAATTCAGGTAAAATTCTTGAAAATATACAATTATTTTGGCTTTAGAAATATTTTAATATTATTAAAATTCATTTTTTTAGACTTGACATATTCTTACCTATTGAAAATCTGTCAATATAGTAACTGAAATATCATTGTTTTGAATAACCCCAAGTCAGGCACATTCAGCATTATATTTTTATATTTTAAGTTGCTTTAAGTTGCTTGTTTGTTGTTTTATCTATCTATAAGTCCATCGTTGCTTTTTGTATTACAAGCCAGAATGTCTATGACTGTCCTACGGTCATTTTCGCAACTGTGCGTGAGTGATGGGGAATATAAACCCTCATTTGGCTATAGCCCAAGGCAAGCGCTCACACATTGCATGTTGAGTGTTTTTTGCACTCAATAAATATTGTCTGACCGCACAGTATAAGTACGTGGAGGGAGAGTGTATACAGCATACATATCTATCGCTCATCGAGGTCTCAAATGTCAGTCTGAGGCAGTCGCACACATCCACATCCTTGTCGAACCATCACGCACAGCAGCAGCAGCAGCATCGGCTCATGGGCGCCCCCAAGGCGCACTTGAGCGATTTCCCAGAGGTGCCCCAGCTTTTCAGTTCTTTGGCCAAAAATGCAAGAGCAACAACGCAACAAAGTACAAAAAGCATGGCACAAAGTCCAATTTGTTTGTAATGGCATTTACTTTGTTTACAAAATAAATTTTGTATGCATGGCGAGTAGTTGTCCCTCCAAACTTGCCCTCTCCCGCTCTGTCTCTCTGTGTCTCTGTCTATCTACATCTCTGAGTCTGAGTCGGAGTCGGAGTCGGAGTCGCGGTAAGGCGACTACAAGCTCAAAAAACCAAAAAGCAAATAACAAAATAGAAAATAGAAGAGAAAAAAGGGAGCAGTAGTACAAATATAAAATAGTAGATGGATGCATATACAAATTCTAAAATCGTTGTACCATAAAATTTCCCCATTGGGCGTTTGGGTTTTTGTTATGCCACTCTAGGCAAGGACGATTGTCTTGCCTTTTCGCTGTTTAATTTTGCAATTGTCCTTTCCGATAGATAGGGCCAGAGAGGGGTAGACAAATATAGAGTTTTTGGGTAGGAGTTATCTATTCCGGTCATGGCTGTTGCGGCTAGTGATTTATGTTTGTTTACGTTGTTCAACATTTGTTTTATTTACCGCACATACAAAACAAAAAAAAATAAAAATAAATAAAAAGCGCTACAGACCCGCACAGAAATAAGCAGCTTAGAGACAACAGCTGCCAGCACTACTACCTTAGTAAAAAATAAAATAATATTTACGTTTAGTTTTGGCTTTGACTTTGCTTTTGTGTTTCACGCATTTTCCACTGACATTTGGCCAGTTTCAGCTTTTTGCTTTAAACTCATAGTGCTTAAGAATTTATTATTTCAAAATGTTGCTGTTGGTTTTCAGTGCACTTGAGCTTAAACGGATCATTATCAGCATTTATGACATATAAACTAGAAGAGGGCTTCTTAACAACTCATAATTGATTATTAAAAAACTCGAGATTTTTATGCTTTGGCTTATGCCGTGCCAGAAGATTCAAATGTTTGAGAATTAAAATTGTATGAATCATTGCTCAGATTATTATGTCAAATGGTCTTTGAAGGCCAAGTATATTATGGATAGCGTCGCTATCCGGTGAATTCAGTTCAGATAGCAGAATGGCTTTTTATTAAGTCCGGTCAGTTCCATAGATTAGTTGAAATTATAATGCGTTATCAACGCTGAAAAACATATGTATTGCTATTTTTTAATTTTCAAGATTTCTTGCTAAGATTTCAGAAGAAATCATGAATATTTGAAAATAGCATACTGAATGACATTTTATATATGCTTTTCAGCATTTGAATTACTTGATACTGAACTCTGGCCATATTATTTTAATTTTAGTTTTAATTTCAAGCTATTATTTCTGGTGTGACGCTTCACAAGCTCATTAAATGTGACTATAATCTATTAAGACAAACATAATGAGCAATTTCAGGGAACAGATAGTGCTCGAGGGGCAGAGATAGAGAGAGACATTATCTTTATTACATATGTAAAATTATAATTAAGAATTTAAGTTTTTATTACTTGTATCAAATTCTAAGAATAAGATCAACTGAAGCTAATCTCTTATTATTCTTTGTCTATTTCTATTATATTAGCAAAATGTTATTCACTCACACAATTCACTCTTCCTGATGGGAAGCTCAAATCCTTTAAAAGACCTTAGAGATGAATTTGATAATTGGTAGATACAACTAATTTCAAGTCTGTCTAAAAAATGGAGTAAAACTGATGATTCGCTCTATCAATGCAAGGCAAGGTAAAGATTTTAAATATTGTACAAATGTAAATATATAAATATTGTTTACCATTGTATAGTTTCCTGTTGCCATTTTGCTCATGCCGATTTGCTAATTGAACATTTTCACTGATGGTGCTAGAAAATTGTTTAAATTTTTACAAATGATTAGTTTATATTAAAAATAACAGTGAAATCAAAATATATTCATAATACTTACGGTTTTCTTTTTGTATATTCGCCGACTATGTATACCAAATATATATATATTTATACATATATACATACATATATATGCATATTATTGTTCTTTTTTAGATAAATGTAAATAAGTATCTGGCCAGTTAAATGATTCAATTATTAGTAATTTCTCTCTTTAATATATATTTAACATTGAATATAGATTATGTACATATCTTGTTTGTTGATTGCGTTTAATCGTTTAAGAAATTCATGTATATATCGTGGAGACGCTGATAGAAACGTCTTAGCCATTCTCATGCCGCCTCAATGGCCTGGGGCAAAAGATTGGCGACAAGGCCATCCACCGGATCGAAAATGGGTACATTGCCTGATAATTGGGGACAGTTCTCCTGTTGGGTCTCGAGCAGCAGGGCCTTCGATATATTGTTGTCATCCAGTATCTTTTGGGCGGTCTGAAGGGCCTGCTCGGTGGGTATACGTTGTCGCGTCAATATCCAAACTATTTCTGTAATGGTCAATAAATGCAATGTCGCATGATTGTAATTAACGTTGTTGGACAAATGTCTCCCTGGTTGACCATAATGCAATTAATTATGGCGTTACATTAATTATGCCAAATGCAATAACTGATTTCTCATTTTGCATGACAAATTAGCCAAGTTTAAGGCGGGACGTGACTAGCAAACGGGGCCCAAAAGCATCCCGGCTTCCGCATACTCACTCAAATGGGCCAGGGAGAGGAAACTGGTGCAGCTGTAGACAACTGCATATGAATCGTAATCGGTACCCAGAACCAAATAGTTTGGCTTCTCCGCTTTCTCTGCAATGCAATGTATATATATATATATATATATATGTTATCTTTATTGTACATATCCAATTTACGTACGATTCTGGGAGAATGTCACTGCCAGTTGGGCGGGCGCAATGACCTTGGCTGTACCAGTCACATTCGTTGGATTTCCAAAGCTGTTTATTTCGAAGAGAGTGTTACGAGTAACCTTCAACTATACTAAATGTCTTACTCACAGTTGATTGATGGCTGCATTTACAACGGATACTGTGCTGTTATCGACAATCGTATAGTTTGCGTAATTACATTTCTTGCCTATTTCAAAGGCAAATGGATACCTTGAGTACTCATACCAGATGCCCATATACTGTAAAGTATTGCAAAAATGTTAAAAGCTTGCGTAATCAAAGTAAAATCAAAGAGTCGCTCAAAAGAGAAAAGTAAGAAAACCTGTTCAAATTTGTAGTACTTCAAACAATTATTGCTGCGAATATTAAGTGATAGACAAACACATATTTTAATTAAAGTCCACATATAACCGTAGTATTTGTTGTTAACTATGACAAATATTTGTTCATTTGTAATCTAATATATTTCTGGTTAATAGTAACGAAAGTATCGCATTTAATTGATCAATCTGTAGAGTGAATTATGGATGGATTTAAGTTTCAATTAGAAAATCGAAAGTTTTCTTTAGAATCCCATTGTTCCCTTTCAGTTTTCGGAAATATTAGCAACAAGAGAACTTGGTATAAATTTGGAATTGTTATTCATTAAAAATATATATAATAAAAATACATTCTACACTTTTCATTGAAGGTCTGTTTTGACAACATGATTGCTTTAAAGACTAAGTATGAAATTATTTTTGAAACTTATCAGATTAAAATACTTATAGATTAATCTGTTATCTGTAAGAATATCATAAGATTTTTGCATTAGTATTGGTAACTACAATTCGTTGTTGAAGATATATTAAAGAAAGTATTGAAGTTTCCACAAATACTTCAAAATAAATCAAAAAACATATCTTAAAATGCTACTATAATTATTATCAAGCAAAGTTATAAACAAATGAATCATGATTTATCTCGTTGTGTGCTCAAAATGAAATTTGTGGAATGTTACCTCTGATAAGCAAACACGAAAATTAAATTGTGCCAACTTCTTGATTGCCCACTTAGCAATTAATTAGAATAACTTCACAATTGCGTCACATTTGATTAATTAATTGCTCAGGTGCTTCAGTTCGAGTGCTGCGACAGTTTTCATATGAATTCAATTGTTTTTGAGCCACTTACCGCTTCCAAGTCAAAGGTGTCCATTATCTTAACCTCAGGACATTTGCCGGGAAAGGGCACTTGAGCCGCAACCAAGATTCCATTTATTGCCACAAATGTAAGTAGCCCAATTGAAGCACTGCAACATGTGAAGAGTTTTGCAAATGAAATTAGTTGCTTTTCCCGTTCGAGGGGTGGTTGAAGCGTAAATTCACCTGATTGGTTGCCGCATTGTTGTTGATTGCTCTGAATAGGTTGAGTGTGATTGAAAGAAGCGCTCAGCTTGCTGTATTCTCTGTCTGCTCGTTCGTTTAGCACTGCAATGCTAGCCGGCTGCAGTTCATCATTTATAGATTCATCTCTAAAAGCTTTTACTGTTCATTTATTGTTGTTGTTGTTGTTGCTGCTTATGTTCTGCTTCTATTTTCAAAGCTTTTTTCGACTGCGCTGGCGCTGCTTTATTTGTTAGGGGGGAAAAGTGAAAAGCTGACGATCCAAAAGCGGAAGGGCTTAAAGGCAGCGAGGGGAAAAGAGCAGAAGAGGAGAGGAGAGAGGATTGTTGGGCTTACATGTAAATCGAAGCTGTCAATGTGCGTTCTCGTTACACTCACTGCACGCAACGCTTTTACTCTTATTTCTTATCAGCAGCACCGTTAATTCGATCAACAACATAACATCAACTGCCAGTGCCACTGCAACTGAACAATGCACTTGTAATTGAAATTCATACAAATATGGTTGGCAAAAAAAAGTTGGCTTGAGCGTTCCGCATTTTCAGACTCAATGCCATAATTCCATAACTGAAACAATGTTATTTGCATATAAATTATGTAAAGAAAAAACCTTTTCAAATATAACAAAAATCCATTTGTTTTCATTTAGTTCATATAATATTTTATTCCACTTTATATTTACTTAGTATATTTTACAAAGTTATGACTTAGGAATAAAGACTTTATATTGGTTTAACTTTTATTAATGATAAGAACCCTTTAGTATATCATAAATGTCGCGTGTTGTTTTTTGAATGTAAACAGGAAAACGTAAACATATTTATCTACCTTACATAAATTCAACATTGCGCCACTTAATATTATCATCTGTTTAGCCATATAAAGAGTAAATTAACAAATAAACAAAACACCATATTCCAAATGGCATCCACACGCCTGCAAGCAAAACAAAGCTTTCGCTTGACTGTGGAATGTGTTTGGCACCGCCATCTATTGGCTGCGCACAACCGCTTTCACACTGGCGCCACCTGTGAGGCGCTTCTGGTTGTAGCTGTAACTAACTGTATCACGAGTCTTAGCCATTATTTATTGATATCTCTCGCACACACCTGCACACACACACACACGCACAAATATACATAAAGTACACTTACACACACAGAAAATGGTTGTGCTGCGGTTATTTATAGTTTTTTTTTAAGTGCAATTTCGTATTATTAAATTAATTAAATGTAAGCCACAAATTGAGTTAAATGTGCAAAAATGCGCCCTTGGCAAGGGGTCAAAAAATTCTGAAAGGCATTCACATATGGCCCAGACAAACTGGCTTACAAAATTATTTATTTAAGCGGGCAGTTTGTTAAGTTAAGCCCATTTTTTCTATCAAATTAATTCTTGAAAGTTCTCAAAGTCCAATTTATACAAAATATTTAAATATTTAAGAACTTTATGATATATTGGGGTGTGTTACTAAAAGTTGTAACAGATTTTTCAATTTGAGTGTGGACAAATATTCATTAACAATTGCCATTGCCATCTTATATGTATAACAATCGTCAGCTCTACATTAATAATAAGTTCTCGAGCAGACCTCGCATATTAAAATGCACACAGCCGTGTTGTGGACAGCAGAGATCTGAATGGCCTGCCAACTATTCTCGAATGGACATTTATGGCGTGCTCCAATGCTGAGCCACTGCGACAAATGAAAGAATCTGTGGAATGGGTTCTGGGAATGATTACCGGGAAATGGGAATGGGTTGGCTGATCTGCTTGGCTGGATGGATGGATGGATGGATGGAAGGCTGGCTGGTTGCTTGCAATTGGTGCTGTTGTGTGGCAGCGTGTAGTAATTAAATTTAAAATATGTACACACAAACGGATGTTTGAGTTTTGCAACACAGGTGCAACTCTGCGTGCGATAGATTGGAAGGGGAGTGTGGGGGGGGAGGGGTTGCGAGTGTGTGTGGCAATGTAGGAATATAATTTTATCAAAGGCAACCGACACGACGACGATAGCCATGCCATAAGCCAACCAACTGGACAGCTCTCTGCAGCTGCAGCTGTAGATTCTGCAAATGCAAACACACACACACACACACACACACACACACACACACTAACACACACACACACACACACACACACACACACACACACACACACACACACACCCCCCACACACACCCGGGCACAATTCAATCATATTGCCAGCATTTTAAGTGTATTTTGCGGTTATGCGCTTTATGCGCATTTTGTACTATGTAATTTGATTTATACGTCCCTGCCAGAGGCAGCCCCCGCACCCACCCCTCCAGCCGCTCTGCAGTGTTTTTTTTAAAAAGGCAAAAAAAACAGTGTTTGTGGAAAAAGGATATGCGTCCATTTAATTGACTGGTCATTGCATATTTTGGCCACAAATTGAATTAAAAATTGTTTATTGTTATGCCAGCAATTGCAACTGCAACATCTGCTGCTGCTGCTGCTTCTTCTTGTTGCAATCAACAGTTGATGTGGCAGATAGAAGCCATATAACCAACTACGGCTAAACAGCATTTGGGCAGATCCCACTCAGGATGACCTTTAACCCAATTCCTTGCGGGCAGAAGGAGTGTTTGGGGGTGGGGTGGGTGCAGCTCCTGGAAAGGACACAACATGACGCAATTTGGCTTTCTACACACCCACACACACACGCACACACGTACACACGCACACACAAAATGGTGACATGACTGCGCTTTTTGCATGCCTTGCGGCAAGGATTTTCCAAGGACTTTACAGCTAGAACAGCGCACAGTCGAGTGCACAATGGAAGCGAGTGAATCTCATTGGAGTTCAACTTATATAAGTTATGTGTTCAATGGCGTAAACCGAAGATTATAATATTATTAACATGCTAATATGCAAAAGCAGTGAAAATCTAATTGCCCACAAGAAAAAGTGCGGAAAGCCAGTTTCAATGTTAAAATATCATAATAAATCGAATCATTTTGTGTGTTCTGAAGATTAAAGATAAGATTAGACTGCATCATCATCCTCAAAATACACCCATAAATCTTAGATTGATAGTCATTTTAGAGGGTATTTTGATTATATCGTGAAGTTTGTAACACATCGAAGGAGATGTTTCTGGTTGTAAATAATTCGAAGCTGACCGGAGCGGATCACTATATCATATAGCTGTAATATAGGAACAATTCTTGTTGCCTGTTTTTCAATTATACGAATATATATATACATAAAAATATAAATATTGAAAAGAACGTTTCGATAAAAAAAGAAGTCTACGTTAAACACTCCTCTTCGATTACCAAAGATACAAGAAATTGTAAGGAGCATTTAAGCTTTGCCCATAACAAATAAGAAAACAAATCACTTTATAACTCTGTAAAGTTAGCTGACTTTTAAAACGATGTATTATTAGTTAGGTGTTGTTCTAGATAAACATTTTTCTGAGAAAATGGAATAACTTCAAAGTTATCGATGTTGCCAATACTAAATACATAATTTATTTATCACTTTGTTGTTTGCCTGCTGCTTTTTTGTCGGGCATCAGTTGTATACGAGGAGCAAACAAACAACAACAACAACAAACAACAGCAACAACAAACAACAACAACAACAATGAGCGACACAGACAACAAAGACAGAAGTGGTTGTTGAAAGTATTTTGATTTGTGCAATGCTCGAAAGTATTGTCGTTTTGGCTGCTATTTGGCGGCAATTTCTTAAATATTTTATAGCACATAACCTGTCTGGCACACATGCGCCCCGCATTCCACCTCAGCTCCTTTCCACCCCACCAATACCAACTACAGGCTGCTCCTTGCTGCTTGTTGTTGTTTGTTTTAAGGCTGAAAGTTTCGTGTTGCAGGCAGGGAAGAAGACAATGTCGTCGCTATCGTTGACTACGCTTATTGCATTATGCCATCGAGTCAGCCAAGTCAGTCAGCGTGCGTGCACAGCCAGCTAGAAGGAGGTTGTGGAAGGAAGTAGTTGGAAGGCGGCTTCAGGATATATCCTTGCCAAGTGCAGCTGATGCCACTTTTGGAGCCCCGCGGCTGTTGTTATTGTTGTTCGTTATGGCGTGCTAAGAAGAAAAACCCAGCGCGAAAAATAACAAGAAAGGAAAAACTGAAATTACATAAAAGTGATTTAGAAATACTCTTTGCCAAAATGCAGCTTCAACTTCAGCAAGTACTGAATGCGTTTAAGAACTTACTTGAGTCAAGCTGACTGATTCAATATTGTTTAAAATGAGTGTAAATTTATTTCTTTTGTCAGATCCATTGAGCTCTCTGCCTATAATACTTTCATCAAGCCTGATTCTTGAACAAAAATAAGAATTTGCATTTCTTAAATTAATTTCGTAATTAAAATTAAATAAAGCAAAACAATATTCGTTGAATACAAATTGTGTTTTAGGTGTGATACAATACTTATTTTAATAATATATGTAAACTATTTAACCCTTACAAACACAGTGGCAAAGGTGGTCAGGTTGCTTTGCAGTAGAGCATACAAATATGTGAATTGGCACAGCTTCTGCCACGCATCTAGCAACATTTCCTGAAACCGCACCACCCGACCCCTCCCCCTCCCCCACCCCACCATCCAGTCGGTGAAGTTGGCAGGTTGCTGGCTGGCAAGAAATGTTAATACCAAAAACGAACCATTTGCCGCAATGAAAATCGCGTAAATTTCATACTGATTGTAAGTGTCGCCGTTTGCCTGACGTTGCTCGCAGCTGAAGCTCAAGCTCAAGCTGGAGATGAAGATGAAGACATTGTCGAGCATGGGCTGTGGGTGGCTTCTGTTTGCCGTCTGTTTGTCTAGCTGCCCTTCTGCTTCTGCCCCCACCGGCGACCCCCCTCCCCCCCACCCTGTCTGTATGTATGTTCGTTGGCTGTCGCCTGCAGATTGTCATCATTGTCACAATTGTAGAATTTTTAGTTTTTTTTTTTCTGTCGCTTCAGCGCTGATTTGCTTGCCATTTTGCGGCATTTACCATAAGCATTCGCTGGCATCGCCATAACTGAAACCCAGAGGATAAGCTAAGGACCTCAGCCAAAATGCCCTTCGATTG